TAAAATCGACATATCCAAGTTATGGCGAAAGGAGTTTGATTTACATAATTTTGACAATTTTACTCATTCCGGGAACAGATTACCCCTCTCCCCCCAAAAAAAGGATTTGTAGTAAGATTTAAAAAATAACATATTAATTAGTTTTTTTTGGGGGGGTAGAGGTTCGTAGGGAAAATTTTAATGTATATTTACTACTTGCACATAAAAAATTATTAATTAATCAGTAAAACGGTTTTCCTTAAACTTTTAACTTCTTCTTGCCTGAAAAAACGATTGTAAAGATTCGTAGCTTTCACATTGGATCTGATGATATATTGCGAAATACTGAATATCATTATACTGCTTCTTTTCATTAAATGAATATAAAAAGCTCGCATATCATTGTTCATCACCACAGTCAAAATAGGCATTTGCCGAATTTTCCCCGTGCAGAGCCTAAAAATGTTACCACCACTGAACTCAATCGAAAGGTATTTTCCATAAAAAGAAAACGGCGAAAATTCCCCGTGAAGTCCCTTCTTTCCTCGAATCAGATGAGAGTTCGATGAAAGGGAGGGAAACACTGCATCCTTTTTAACACTGCGGCAATTAATCACAACTGCAGGAAAAAAAACAAAAACAAACAAACAAAGAAAAAAAATAACGCGATAGAAACAAAATGGTTATCGCGGACCTTCATACACCATTGGCAGCCAAGAAAAATGAAACAAACAAAAAAAAGACAGGTGATAAAAGTTACCACATCACGTGACCATTCCCATACCGCGGTGTGATAAATTGATGGTCTATATATAATAAGAGTAATAACAATAATGATAATATAATAAATATTCGAAGGGAAAAAATCTTCTTCGGATGGAAGGTTCGTGGGGGCCATTTCATTCGTAATGATTGCGAAATCGGGGCCCGGGCCCTATTCATCACTGTCATCGCCGTTTATATAAGGGTGGGCACATGCCCTGAAGCCACTTTTATGTGTGTTTAATCAAATCTTAAATGGCTACTTGATTCTCACGCCGCTTGGGCTTTAGATGAATTTAATTTTGGGGGTCATATATTAATCAAGGCTGTGCAAGAACTAAAACAGAATGAAGGTTTCGCAACTGACTTCAGTTATTCATTAAAATTGACAGAAGAATGGAGAGCAAGAATAGGTGGATGTGGGTTAATTAATTTTATCGGTTTTTCAATAATTAGGACCCAACCTCTATCTTTAATTCAAGGTCGTTCAATAGTTACCAGAATTTATGCCCAGATAGTTAAAAATTCATGCACGACTATAAGAAGTTTGTTACATTTATGAAATTTATTTTCTGATTATCAGCTAGAAAACTTCAAATAGTTTACTAACAGAATGGAATGTGACTATTGGAGTTATGAAGAAATTTTTGGACACTTAATTCATGCTTTTTAACATTAACACAGAGCTTAAATTGCGCCGGAGCCCACCGGAGCCGGGTTCCGATACTTCTTAGTTTATAGGATAAATTATAATTCTAGCCTGAGCGCACCGGAGCCTTAAATAAGAAGGCTCCGGTACTTCTTTTATGGAACTGAACAACAATTTCAGTAGAAATTTGATCTCGAAAATTTTATTTTTAGCAATAATATTATGTTAAAAATTACTTATTAGATTTATTAAAATTAGAGATAAATTAAAAAAAAAAAAAAAAAAAAAAAAAGGACAAAAAAGAAAATCTGAAAGGTTTCAGATTTTAAATTACGTCCAAAAGGGCGTTTTATTAACATTTTGTGTGTTACCTTTACTTATTTAATATCTTGTTCTTTGCACTTAAACCATAAAATGCAGTTCAAGATAAATATCGCAAAATAATTTTAAATTCAACATATCTTTAGTATTTCCGATACACAGTCTCACGCGCTGGAGATAAAAATGTTTTTTCCGTACAACATTGCCATCGCTCGCTTTGAAATCCCTGAGTTCGTTAATCAAAAATTCGTTAAAGTTTTACAAAATAGGAAATCGATAATGAAAAAAATTTCAAATTTGAGCTTTTAGATGCGTATATTCGCAGTAGGATTACGTCATTCAAAATTGGATGGCTCCAGGTACTGTTGTTTTATCACAATGCGAAAAACATACATACATTTATGCAGATTCTTCATTATTTAAATTCTTCAAATGTAATACAGGGCAATAATATTTGGTGGCAACAGTCTGAAAAGTGAAACGGACATTTAGAGTTATTCGGCGCAAAATCGCAAAACGAAAACAATAGTCCCTCAGAGACAAAGTCTCTTTAGGCTAATAATCTAATATATAATATATTTAATCTAATAAAAGAAATATTAGATTAAATTATATTTAAAATCACTAAAGAAATAAATTTTAATATATTTCTTTAATTATTAATCACTTTAATAATTAATTATTTTAATGATTAATGATTTCATTTATTTATTTATTCTTGTTCCTCTTTCCTGAGGGTCTACGGTACGGCTCCGACTCTTCTAATTTTAGAAATTAAGCCCTGCATTAACAATAAATTCATGCGAGATTTTGGATTGAGCTGCTGGTGACAGCAGTTTTATCCACTTGGTCCCTGGTGGACAAGTACATATAAAATTTAAGGGCTTAAAAAGTTATTCCTTATATTACTTAAGTAACATTTACAGGATTCATGAACTTTTAGAATAAAAGCTTTTATAAAGCTCCGTTCTTTTCAAAAATGTAAATAACACTTCAGTAATGTAAACCTTTGTTATTGACAGTCTGTATACTGTTTAAATGATTCAAGTTAAGAAATTGCCGATTTTGAAACTAATAACATTAAAAGAAATTATTTTGTTTAGTTAATGACTTTCATTCTAACCTAGTTCTTCGTAACCCTTTTAAAATACTATTCTATTAACTTTTTAATTTTCGCTACTATTTCTGCTGACAGATGGCGCTCCCTTCTTGTTCGCTTTACTCCTTTTGGGAATAAATACAACCGTGGCTTTTCTTTTGCTGAAGATTTCTTTGCTTCTGATGAAAACGGACTTGCATCCGGTTGCCTTCCAAATCCATAGAGCCTTGACTAAAATCTATGCCAAATACAAGTTTTTTGCTTTGATAATTTTTTAATTAAAGCATATTCCCTTATGTGCTTATATTTGTTTTTAGTAAGCCTTTTTTTAGATGTTAGCTTTTAGTCCAAAAGGGCAATTTGCCCAGAAGGACTATTTATTTCGTTTTGACATTTTGCGTCGATTCACGATAAGCGTGTTGTTTCACTTTTCAAACTGTTACCACCAAATATTATCGCCTTCTACTATATTTAAAGAAATTAAATAATTAAGAATCTGCATGAAATGTATGTATGTTTCTCGCATTGTGATAAAACAACGGTACCTAGAGCCATCAAAATTTGAATAACGTTATCTTCCATAGAATATGCGCATGTGGAAGCCCTAATTTAAATTTGGAATTTGTGTTTTATTATCAATTTCATATTTTGTAATATTTCAACGAATTTTTTATTAACAAACTGAACAATTTTAAAGCGAGCGATGGCAACACTGTACCGGGGGGGGGACGTTTTTATCTCCAGCGCGAGAAACTCTGTTTCGGAAATTCTAAGGATATGCTCATTTTAAAATTATTTTGCGATATTGCTCTGGAATTAAATTTTATGGTTTAAGTGCGAAGAACATAATATTTAATAAATAAAAGTAATACACAAAATCTTAAAAAAACCGTCCCTTTGGACGTAATTTAAAATCTGAAACCTTTCAGATTTTATTTAATTTGATATTCTATTCCATTTTAATTTAACACTTTTTATTTACACTGATTAACCTAAATGTAAACCTGAAACTATTAAATTTGATACTAAAATATCTAGACAGAGATGTATTCACGTGTATCTTTCTGATCTTAGCTCTTATTGGTTTTCGAGACCTAAACTAGCATAATGAAATAAAATTTTGCGTTCACGGCTAAAACATTAAATAACAAAACGTTTAAGACATGATGTACAAATTTCAGAGTAAAGGGACTTATGATTGTTGCTGGTTTTTCATGTAAAGGCAAATTAAAAAATAAAGAGATTGGAGAAAAATGTTAAGATCAGCTTCACATATTATCAAGAACACATTTTATACCCAATTTTCAAATATAAAATATCTTCTCCTGACGCACAGTACCATCGATCACCAGAACTGCATCAAGACAAAGTAAGCAGCCTCACCTCAAAACCCACTGGTAATATCCTGGAGGAAATGGAACAAGAAACAAGTATAAAAACCATGCCCTTTACTCATATCCCTACTAAATATCCTATACATCTCCCATGGATATCCTATATATCTCCCATATTGGGCTTTTGGACTTTAGAAAAGTAGATTGTCCAAACGTCGGACTACATACCTCCTTGGACTTTGGAAAGCTGTTCAAGAGGAATGGGATAAAATACCGAAACTAAAAATGGCTTGATTATCTTGGAAATAACGCTGCAGGGAAGAATTATCAAGTAGAACATTTAAAACATTAGTGAGTTATCAAGTAGATGGAATACGATAAAAACACGATGGAAACAAAATGGCCATCGCGGACCTTCATACACCATTACCAGCCAAGAAAAATGAAACAAACAAAAAAAGACAGGTGATAAAAGTTACCGCATCAACGTGACCATTCCTATATCGCGGTGTGATAAATTGATGGTCTATATACAATAAGCGTAATAACAATAATGATAATATAATAAATATTCGAAAGGGAAAAAATCTTCTAATTACTCACAATTATATCAAGTAGTTATCAAGTAGAACATTTAAAACTCAAAACTTTCGGGTAATATATGCTATATATACAATGAAAATCGTCTAAAAAATGTGAGAACAGCCTGTATACTGAGCAAATACTGGTACAAATAATGTATAAATAGTTTACTAAAATAAATAATTTATATGTTTTAACAGATTTCACAAACAAGCTTAATTTTATTAGGAAAAAGGCAGGTGCTTAAAACGCAGAGTGAAAAAGCAAAATAAAATCCACAGTTTAATATTGTTTATTTGGCATGGAAAATAGTTTACACTTAAACAATAAACATGAAATTAAGTGCGTCTACATCGCTAACTTTTATCATCACTTAAGTTTCACACAACTTTTTGTCCTGAAATTGAAACGCATATCTCAGTTTCCTTTTATAAGTCCTTTAAAAAAACAATAATCCTTAGCTATATAACATTTACAAAATTCGCGCACCAAAGACAAATTTTGCTTATTTCTGGACACTGATAAAATGATTCATATCGTCCATATTCATCATTTATAATCCTATAATTGTCCATCCTAATGTCCAGAAATTAAATTGCTATAAGGAAGAAATCATCGATATTAGTTCTGAGATAAAAGTATATTTGCAGTGATAAAAGTTAATGCATTTTAAAATTTGTATTCTGTTTCATTTGGCAGAGATAATTCTTATGGTAAGAATTTTATTTGGCAGTTATCTGCAATGTGTTTAAAAAATTCATAAACATTGTCTATTAGTTTTGAGGCAGAAAATTTCAAACAGGTTTGGAATACTGTCAAATAATTTAAGCTTATTTATGTTCAATTTATCATATTATTAATAATATATATTTGCTCAATAAATTGTTTGTAGTTCTTACTTTTAATCATAAGTTTTCTTGCCTTAGATGCAATACAATGTAATAAGCAACAACACGTATGAACTTAAAACGAGTTGTTTTGTTTCAGCCCATGATTTTTTTCAAGAATTGTCTAAAAAAAATCTTATGCAATTGAAAGTACTGTGGAAAAGGCTTTTAACCTATCCATATTGAACAAAATGTGTGTTTAAAGGTACTCGTTAAAATATGGGAAAGGAATTAATTTATTCATCAGCATTCTCTTTCAGACAGTTAATATTCTAATTCCGTAAAACCTAGAAATATCTAAAAAATTTGGCTACTTTTTTTTAATTAAACAAACAAATAAAGAAAGAGATATCTGTCTATATAACCCATTCTTGAGATATTCTGTACTTAACGTTAAATAATGATTAATGGAAAAAAATGTAGGATGTATGTCTAATATTGAAAAGTCCTTACTAAGGACTAAGTTTCCTGACTGCTAATTACTGTTGCTTATAAAACTGAATGCAATATTAAAAAAACAGGAATGAAGAATGCAACATATGGGAATATGAATTGTAGAATGCTATGTTGCATGGGAGTATGCATATGAAAATATGAATCGTGGAAGATAGCCAGAAAACTTTTTTATAAATTGTCGACATATTTGCCTTTTTATACATTTTAAGAAAATATTGAAGTAGTTTCCAGTTAATGTCCCTTATGGAATTAATACTTTTTATTTTATTTACTAATAAAAAGTGTTCGTCTGGAAAGTAGCCAATGTTTTATTTGAAATAAGACTTCGGACTTGAATAAAGAAACTGGAAGTAAAAAAATATAAATTGTGACATTGTTTCAGTAAGATTCATTAATAATTAACGTTACTGATTATACCCATGATGTCTTTTTCTTCAACCCTGTTTAAGTGTGTTTTCAAGCAGAAGTTTTTAAAGAAGTCGTCTGTGTGACCAAAGAATTTCTTAACTGAAAATAATTTCCATGGAAGAGAAATCTTGCAAACAGATGAATTCTTAAACAAGTAATCCTCTCCATACAGAAGAAATTCTCAGACTCTTTCCTTTAAAGTAAGAAACTAACTGAAAGTCATTTTCTGGCAGATAGGTGGAAGCCAGTTATTTCTAAGGAGAATTCGACGGTGCATTACTTCCAGACAGAAAGTTTCTTATAACCGGGAACCAACTCGAGCCATACAGACTCAACACTGGAAAAAAAAAAAAAAAATCAATGAACAGAGGTAGCAGTGAAATTTTGTTCTTCGTATTGCTTAATAATGTTGCTATGCTGCCTGGTAGTTTTTTCTTCGAGTTCTCCACTTATTCTTTCCCATAAATATCCCCTATCAATTCGAAATATCTGTATCAATGCAGCACAATGTAATTCATTTTGTCCAAATTTAAAACAGTCTCTAAGAATTGTCAAAATGTCCTTGTTTTTATATTAGTCTTTACAAAGTTATGAAACTGCAGGGATTATGAGAAATGTTTATTTAAATATGGCGGCGTTTCACGTCGATAGTGGCGCCATCTCGGGAGATTCCGGAGCACTTTCTATTTCCACCATAGATCCGTCATCCGAGATAGGTGAAGAGGGCGCATCTTCCCCGTTCTGCCAGTTATGCTTATTGGCATATTCGTGGCTTCCTGCAGAGTGCGAGTGATGGTGTTTTGATTCGCCTGATGATGCGGATGATGATGATTTCTCCGTCTGTCTGCTAGTCTGCTCCTCCTCTTGTTTCTGGCGCTTGTGCTTCGTACGTCGATTCTGGAACCAAACTTTCACCTAAAATGAAAAGGGAAATATGCTGTTGAAAAATACCAGTTTGAGTACCACATAAAAATTTCACATAAAACTGTATTACAAAATAATGACAGTCACGGTCACAGAGTACAGTAGTTACAGTAAAGTAATTTGTAATATAAAAATTTCTTAGCTAATTTTCAATTCCGATTTTGATAACATTTACCATATTTTTGTAAAGTGACAAGCATGAAAGTCATTTCCCCCCCCCCCCAGAGACCAAGCGTTAACACAGAAGGGCTATAAATTTCAAAACAGCATTTTGCGCCGATTCACTTTTCAAACTGTTGCCACCAAATATTATCGCCATCTATTATATTTAAAGAAACTAAATAATGAAGAATCTGCATCAATGCATGAATTTTTCTCGTATTATGAAAAAACAACGGTTCCTAAAGCCATCAAATTTTGAATGACATAATCCTTCAACTGAAAATGGGCACTTGGAAACCCGAAATTTTGAATTTCGATTTTGTTTTATCTATTTAAAAGTTTGTAAAAACGAATTTTTGATTAACAACCTCAACGATTTCAAAACGAGAAATGGCAACACTGTACGGAAAAGAAAAATTATCTCCAGCGCGCGAGACTGTATATCGGGAATGCTAAAGATATGCTATTTTTAAATATTTCGTGATATGGCTGTTGAATTGAGTTTTATGGTTTCAGTGCGAAAAACATGGCATTTAATAAATAAAGGTAATACACAAAACGTTTAAAAACTGCCCCTCTAGAAGTAATATGAAATATGAAAGTTTTAGTTTTTTTCCTTCTTAAAGGATACACGTCGAGAATTCATAGACCTTTCATGAAATATTTCTTTGAAATGTGCTTTTTTCGAGTTTGTTGTTAAACATCAACGAACCATGTCTTTCGTACATAAATTTTTAATTTAATGAAAATATCCTTATTTTAGGGAAATCTTGTTGAGCGGAGATGTGTTCAGATCTTTCAATTAAACAGCTGACGTCTTCTAAACATATTCTTTCAAAAATGCCTGTTCTGCCAAAAATGCCTTTGAGATAAATTTTGAAATGGATGCTTAAAGAATAGTTTTGAATGAGAATTGATTAAGATGTTGCATTTAAGCGTTGAACCATTTCTCGATATACCCAGAATTTAGCAGATTATGAAAAGCATTTCTAAAAGTGGATAAAAGGCAAGATGATTTCATTTTCTTCGAAGTTGGCAATCGAAAATTCCATACAATATAAAATTAGCTAATGATTATTTTAGCTAATTAACAACGGTATTGTCACATTACAGACTACAATCATCTAAGTTGATTTCTTGAGGTCTTTAATAGGCTACCATCATATCGACATAATTACAGAAATCATTCTACAATTTAATGGAAACCCAAATGAGTAATTATAACAGTTTCTGCGAATGAGTTGCTTCGTTTTACCGAGTGTGAGATAGATAATAAATACAATTTCCACTTAATATCTGAATTGATCCGATCTCGATGCATTCCTTTCCTTGCGGGCTGCAAAACTTGATACATTAGTTTGGTTTGTTTTGGGTTTCAGGGCCCAAAGTCCCATTTAGCATATCTTGCGCCGAATACAAGACAATATGTGAAAGCCCATACTTCATAATATCAATACTTCTGTGAATTAATTAGAATGCCGGTAATATATTTAGGAGGGAACAGCGTTTTCATCAGATTTAGCGTGATAATAAGCTGATTCTACTACATGTTTTGCAACAGCTATAATTTAGTGATTGAAACGATCACAAGTGTATACATTTATGAAAACGTCACTTTGGTGCAAGCTATAAATCTTAATGCCCTTGTACATTAAGATGTGCCCTTAAATGTGCGCAATTAAACTGAAAGTGTTTACAATCTGTTAGACGGCCAACCAACCGGGACAGTGGTTAGCGAAGTTGACTGCCGTACCTAAGGACCAGGGTTTGAATCCCGGAAAAGTCATGGATGTTTGTAAATGTATAGTATCTGTGTGACATGGGGGGCACTCTCGGGCCCGTCCCCCCGAATGTTCTCCATCAGAATTAGGGGCAGAACTGAGCAATGTCGTGCTATCACCTGTATGGTGCTCGAGGCTCTTGCCAATGGCAGGCGCAGTTTTTCACTCCTTACCATGATGAATTTCATGGGTTTATTCTGATGTTACTGTCAGACAAGTGATATCCTTGCCATGAGGAATTTCATGGGTTTATTCTGATGTTACTGTCAGAAAAGTGATATCTTTGCCATTAGGAATTTCATGGATTTATTCTGATGTTACTGTCAGACAAGTGATATCCTTGCCATGATGAATTTCATGGGTTTATTCTGATGTTACTGTCAGACAAGTGATATCCTTGCCATGAGGAATTTCATGGGTTTATTCTGATGTTACTGTCCGACAAGTGATATCTTTGCCATTAGGAATTTCATGGATTTATTCTGATGTTACTGTCAGACAAGTGATATCCTTGCCATGATGAATTTCATGGGTTTATTCTGATGTCACTGTCAGACAAGTGATATCCTGCCATGAGGAATTTCATGGGTTTATTCTGATGTTACTGTCCGACAAGTGATATCTTTGCCATTAGGAATTTCATGGATTGATTCTGATGTTACTGTCAGACAAGTGATATCCTGCCATGAGGAATTTCATGGGTTTATTCTGATGTTACTGTCCGACAAGTGATATCTTTGCCATTAGGAATTTCATGGATTTATTCTGATGTTACTGTCAGACAAGTGATATCCTTGCCATGATGAATTTCATGGGTTTATTCTGATGTTACTGTCAGACAAGTCATATTAGTCAGAACAACAACAACACAACATAATCTGTTAGGCAAAGGACTCGGCAAATTAAGCCAGAATGCTGCCATTCTCGTGTAAACTCAAACGGATTTTTTGCTGGTGATGACGAAAGAAGCAGAAATAATCCTAATCGGCAATAAAACGAAATGCCGTTTGTAGATGGATTGCAACAATAAAATTAAAGAGGTGATAACTGTGTCTTTTCCTTTTCGTACTGTTTTGTAGTTATTACTAAACTTTTCTGCTATGAAAGGACTACTTTTCATGAATTTCCTATTTCATACCTTTATTACTTACGCAAATAGCATGGGTGAGAAAAGCAATAAATGGCATAAAATAGTAATATTAAAGAGAAAATGCATCTGTTTGCAATGTGGAATGATATACTATACACGAAAAGATTTTCTGAAACTAGAAAAATTCAGATAATAAGGAAAAAATGGAAGGGGAATAGAAGAAGAACGAACTGCATTTGGAAAAATTCAGATTACAAATTTTAAAAAATTTAGCATTAAAATTTTGAAAATTTCCCCAAAAATGTTTAAAAAATCAAAAAGTATATAAAAAAAATGGCTCAGCAGCGGCCGAGCGGTAAAATCGCTGAACGCTGGTTATTCTAATCTGGGTTCGAATCCAGGAGAACGGGCTGGCTGCATGGGCGTTTTCGTGGTTCTCCCCACGTGCGACGTTACACAAGCCAGTTTCCCTTAGAAAGTTCTCCATAAATGCATCCCTTCCCTCAGGCAGATATATTAAAAAGAAATTGCATCTTAATTTTGGCAGGCATCAGTTTAACACTTGAAGTAGTTATAAACTATGTCACTTTGATGGGTCTGATAGTTTAAGAATTCGCTGTCAGCTTAATTTTTCAATTAGTTGAACATATAAAATGGTAATCGTTTACTTAAAATGTGCTATTCAAACCAGCAAAGCTAAATGGTATGAAAATAATATGTTATGATATTATTTCATTATAAATTAACACCATGTGGAGACTTGTACATGTATTTAATAAAGAAGAGACTTCGTTCTTCAAGACGTAGCTTCGCATTGATTAACTGGATCCTTAGTGCATGAAGTTTGCAACAAAAATTTCTTTCAAATGGAAATATATATATATATATACATATTTTTTTCCAAAAAGCGAAATCCATAAACGCCTCGAAGAAGTGTTTAAAAATACTAACAATCGGTGCATAGTATCTTAACGTAACTTTTCCTTTGAAATGAATAGGACAAGAGGTGTAAAAAGTTCTCAAGTCATAGGCTATAAAAACGTTTTTAAAAACTTTAACTGATTTTCTCGCAATTAATAATCTTAGAATTCAGCTAATAAGACTTTTATTGTCAAAAAACCAATCTTTTTCATCTGTAACCTAAGAAAAAAATTCACAGAAATTTCAGAGATTCAAGAAGATTGTCTACATTAAATTTCATTTTATTTTTAATGTTAAAGGTTTGGCCTTGAATTTCATTTACTGGTTAAAAAACTGCGTTGTCAAAAACCTCATTTACAGTTGTTAATTATGCCTGTGTACGATATTATGCTCCTAAGGAGAATTTTTCGTGCTCAGTAATGTTCATATTTACTGCCAATATCTCACTGATTAGCAGAAATTTGGAAGGCAGCCATCAAAGTAACCATATCTGTTTGGAACTACATGGTCCTAAGAAGCAGCCGGACAATTCAATTCCATTCTATTCCGTTCCGTCCAAGCTCAATGACCCTTGAAACCACACCAGTACCGGTCGAAACCGGAACTGCATTAAGGAACTGGCCATAATGGCCAAGACGTCCCACTTTCAGGACTGCGTTTCCTGGAGTCCAAGACGAGGGGCAGAGAGTACATTTAAGAGGCTTCGGAAGTGGACAGCCGCGAAAGTATGGGGAAGGTTTAAGTTACGTTATCCAGTTACAACTTCATTACGAAAGGATGTGGGATGTTATGGTAACTGTAGATTTTAAGGGTTACTTTTTTTTCGACGGGCAGCAATTTTTCACAAACCTTTTTTTCTCCCCCCCCCGGTATGTGTATCTATGGCATCATTATTTGTTTCTTCGATGCAAGAGAGCTATTAAATTGATTTATTTGCCAGCTTGAAACGTCTTTTGGATGTGTTCCAACGAAAAGAACGACAAATACTGAATAAATGCATTTATATAGCACATAAGTAAAGCTTTTACGTAGAGATA